ATTATATATACCTTACGGACTAGTATATATATTATAGTAGACCCTACGTTGCTGTGGCTAACAGTTTCTTTATATATAAAAATAATTTGCAATAAAATTGCGACTACAAATTGAGATGCTGTTTTTTTTCAAGTTGGATCAAATTTCACACGATGTGCAAATCAAATTTGCAATTGGTTCAGTAGTTTAAGAGTTCATCGAGCACAAACAACGTGACACGTAATTTTTATATACAAATAAATAAGATAATAAAATAATAATATTGTCTTTGTGATCACCACACTCACTATGGCAATCTGCCACGGTAGCGGCGGTCCACCACTTCCTTCGGCCAGTAGTCATCCATCATGAAGGTGGTCAGCATGTTAGTGGGACCTGAGTCGGGTATTTGTTACTTATCTCCTCCTAAACGTCTGGACTGATTTGAATGAAATTTAGTGGGTATATTTAAAACTAAAATACCATTCTGATCCTCTGGATGAAAGTCGGTCATTCACCGTGCTCTTTTCCAGAAACTTACAACCACGTAAAACTACATTGTGGAATCACCTTCCAGCAATGGAATTTCCGAACCGATACTATATTGAAACCTTTAAGAAAAGAGCGTATTCCTTCTTAAAAGGCTGGCAACGTACTTGCAATGCCGGCGGTAATAACATACCATAAGGTGAGCCGTATGCTCATTTGTCTCCTGTACTATAAAAAAAGATAGAACAAAATATTTTTATTTTATTCTTTTATTGACAAGGAATAATAAAGTTAATAAATAAAATAGGATTAAAAAGCAATACCAAGAACTGGTGACTATAATTAATCAAAACGGCCGGTATGAATTGCTTTAGATTTATATAATTGTTCTTCAGAATCGCTTGAATGCAGACGTTCAACCTTAACCCTAAAACATTTGTGTCACTGCAAACCATATTCAACAATTTGGGTCAATAATTGCAGCCATATTATCCCCTTGGATGAACAGATCCGAGCGTATTCTTCAATCCAAGATACCCGAACATTAAGGAACAATTTTAAAATAGCATTAAAATAAATATCATAAAGTGATGAATAATAATAATAATCTCAGGACAATTCACACAGCGCCATCTAGACCCAAGTTAAGCCAGCTTGTGTTATGGGTACTAGATAACTGATACAAATACATAGATATTTTTTTTTAAATACATACATATTATACATAGAAAACACCCAGACCGATACAAACAATCATTCATGAATATAACTGACTATAATGTTCAACATGATTTGCTTTAGATTTACAGAATTGTTCTTCAGAATTGCTTGAATGCAGACGTACTGATGTTCGTGACGTGAATGCTCTTAACCCTAAAACGCTTGTGTCACTGCGAAACAGACCCAACAATTTGGGTCAATAACTGCAGCCATATTATCCCCTTGGGTGAACACATTCGAGCGTATAGAAATTTATCCACGATATCCGAACATTAAGGAACAATTTATTGTTTCCTTATGCGAGCAGCTAAGGAGTGGAACTCTCTACCAGCGTCTATTTTTCCTGTCTTACAACATTGGGTCTTTTAAGTCACGGCATCGTAAACAACATATCTTTACACCGTATCGGATGTACCAGTTATGATATATTTATATTACACATTGTAAATAAATGTTTATTTACAATGTGTAATCGAATGTCTAATATTATAAGTTAATGACAACGATTGACGGCCTCAGTGGTATAGCGGTTTAGCACGCTGGCGTACATCCGATGGTCGCGAGCTCGATTCATCGCACTGCACAAACATTTATATTCATGAGTATGATTATTTGTATCGGTCAAATTCAAATTCATTCATTCATCATTTATTCATGTAGGACATTTTATCCGCTTATGAACGTCAAATTTTTACACTATAATTTTATTTTTGTCCCTACCCTCCAGTTCGATATTATATAGATCTAATTGAGAAGAACTGGTAAGAAACTCAATTGAATTACTTTTTTTTTAAAACCAGAGTCAAAGTGGTTTTAAAGGTCAGAGTTTTTACTGTTTACTATGTATAATATAATATGTATATACGAAAAGAAAATATATCTATGTCTTTGTATCAGTTATCTAGTATTGATAACACAAGCTTTAGCTATCTTAACTTGGGTCTAAAAGGCGCTGTGAGAATTGTACTGAGATTCTTATATTATTAATGCAAAGAGATGTTTCTTTGTTTGTTAAGATTTCACGACTATGTTCTTAATAAAATTTGATATACAGCTAACTTGTCTCATAACTACGAACTATTAATATGTACAATTGTAAAAAGATTTGTATTTAGATTGTATAGATTTGAACACCTATTATTATTTGTATAAATAACGCTAGTTCAGAACCCTATGCAAAATTGTAAATCTCTTTTGAACAAAATAAAATTACTATTACATTAAAATTACATTAAATATAACAACAGTTGAGTTTCTTGCCTGCTCTTCTCGACAGACCTGAAGAAACGTGAACTAGACGGTATAAAAAAAAATAATACAAAAGACTAGCTATATCCCGCAACTTTGCTTTCTTTTCCAAATGCAAAAATGCCTTGCGATAATAATAAAATATTCTATCTTCACGTTGAATTTCATAATCTGTTCAGATGCTAATTCGTGGATAGGTATTACCTTTCAATAAACAATTAAATAAGACAGACAAACACACAAGTATATAACATTAGTATGGAAAGACCTGAACCATATACCTAAGTCTAATAAGAAATTCTGCACGAATAAGTGCCTTTGAATTTTACATTAGATATTGTAAAAAATGGGTATTGCAATAAAAACTGAAATAAAATAAATTGTAACAAATCAACAAGAGCTAGATATATATCTATTTAAGCCGGCCATCAAGCTTAATGCCGGCGATTTGTCTAACCGTTTGCTGAAATAACACGACCAAATACCAAAACTCCGGAATGAGGAGCATTACAGAGAAATAACTTGACCATCATTCATATTATACTATTCTATATTACGTAATATTGTCAAATAAAAAAATCTTATATCAATTCGATATATTCCTATATTCGACTAAACGTGTAATACTGGTAGAGTTCACTGTACCATGGGATACAAATATACCTAAAAACCATATAATAAAAACAAATAAATATTATGAACTAATAAATGAATAAATGAAAAAGGGTATATGGTTAATTTATATGCGGTCGAAGAGGGAGCGAGAGATATACCAGCGAAATGTCTCTATAATCTTCTAAAAGATCTAGGCCTGTCTAGAACTGCAATGGGTACTATACGAGTACAAGAACGTTTATAAAGCTGGACTAGCAGGCTCCTATCAAATTTGGTTGGGTAGGGAGAGACACACGAGCGGTCAAAGTGAGTGTTGATACACGTCGGCAAAAGGGACTATCTATGAAAGGCCTATCAAAATAGAACTATCCAGAGATTAGCAAGAACAAAGAGACAGATACACAGACAATTTTTTATAATTCCCTTTTCAAATTATTCTCACAAGTCCCGGGACCTCAATTTCCTTCTGCCTCTCAATGAAACCATGGCAGCCAACCATACGGTGAATCCATGGAATGCTAAACAAGTTCGTCTCTATATATTAACAATTATAATCCTAGGTAGTGCCGGAGGCAAAATTAATAGTAGTCGGAACTTCATTTGTACCTATTGCTATTAATGTGCTATACATAATACGGCGACCTCCATGCGGTCCCTCCTGGAAACCATCGTCATTAATTTTTAGTGAATTTGTAATGATGGACTAACCGACCTGACCAAATGCTTATTTTATCATCCACCACTGATACTTCGCCAGCGTATACCGTTAGCGGAACTTAAAGGGGATCTAATCTGTGACCATCGGAAAGTAAGACAACGTGCTAAGCTGCTAGATTATCCTATTCGTACAACCATCAACTGCTAGATGCAAGTACCTCTAATAGCTTCCATCTTTCAAAATACAAACTTTACTCAATTCGGAAGAAAGAGGATCGATTATTAAGGCGGACTTTTAAGCCCATTGCTAGCAATGTACCATCAGATTAATCTCCATGCGTTTCCCCCTGGAAACCATCATGATACATTCCTGGTGAATTTGTCGCGATATACTAACTGACCTAACTTTATGCTCGTCTTATCGTCCTCCACTAGTGCTTCGCTTATACCGTTAACGCAAACCATTCCATTAAATTCATAAAGAAAATCCGAGAAATCTGACATGGTGTAGGGTGTATAGTCTGAGCCATTGTGAGTAGTTGATATCGCGGTCAAAGTGACACTTGACATGTCTATTAAAAACTATACCTACATGTATTACGCTCCAATGTGACAATGCCGGCTGATGGAGTAGCGGTTTAAGACACCGCTTTACCGCTACCTCTTCCGATGGTCTTAGATTTCCTCGCACAATACAAACATTTGTATTCATGAGTATAATTCTTTGTATTGGTCTTGGTGTTTTCTAGGTATTTTATGTATGCGTTAAATATATATATTTAGGTATTTCTATCAGCTGTCTAGTACCCATAACATAAGGCCTGCTTAGCTTGGAACTCGATGGGCGCTGTATAAATTCTCCTATAGGTTTATTATTATAATCAACCGTCTCTCGTCTGTTAGATCTGATTTGCTATTCCGAAGTATTTTTTTAGTTTATATATTTAATAAAATCGATTACATACATACTTATTTACTTTATCCATTATAAACTACAAAATTTTTAGGATATTTGTTAAGCAATTTTTCTTTACGTAACTAATATGATAAACATGTTAACAAACCACCTTATAGTAAACCTATAAACATGAACAGCACCACGGTCATTACAACCCAAGCCACCACTCATGTATTCCCATTTGGGAGTACCAATGTCTCCGTACCTACCTTGTAATTTCACTGACATTTCTCGCCGTTTAATCAAAGCAAGTTGCATGGCGACAGATGACTTTGTACAAAGTATAAAAAATTACAATATATTATTGTGACCTTCCAATTTATCTTCGCAGCAGCACGGCAACGCGACGACGTCGAGTGAGACCTCAGTTGGGACGAACACTGCGACGGCCCCCACCGCGCCTACCGCCGGCTCCAGCAAGGGTCCGCCTCCAGCTGCCAAGTTCCGCCACGGTCTGCTGCAGCTCATGATACATACCATCGATCCGATGCACGACGGTGAGTTAGGTACGCACCGCGCTTCGCTTTACACCTACACTCTTGCTGTGTTGACGTCACGTGATAGAAATATTTTTTTTATGGATGATAACGGAATGTTGCACCCTCCTGCGCTAATGGTTTACGCTGGCGGGACGCCAGTGGAGGATGATAAGATGAGAAAGAGGTCAGGTAAATTAGCCCATCATGACAAATTCATCAGGAATTTATCACGATGGTTTCCAAAGGGAACCACGTGGAGGTCAACCCGACTTGGTACCCGGCAATAGACTGAACAGATCACATTACTAACAATTCCCCGCTTCTGATAGATATCTACATTTATTCTCTAGTGGACAATGATATCATTAGAGAAATGAAGATTCACTCCCCCTATCCAAATACGCCTTATGTGTAGGTCTCAGGAAAAGTAACGCGCACTTTTTTAGGGTTGATGTTTCATAATAATTTTATTCCCTATACACGAAGTTCAGAGAAATGAAGATTATCGTATACCATAAGATTCGCCATATGCTTGTTTGCTACCAACGGACTGTCTGTAAAAGGGACTTCCTACTTCGATAACTGGTCTATATATTAACTTTAAAAACCTAGGATTTAAATATAACTTTTTAACTAATATCGTTTTCATTAGATATATGAAAGCCTCAGTGACTCTGCAATCTATTCCACAAAATCAGTAGCATCAATATTCAATACCTAACATATTCTGAAACTTTAGAGGCTATTATCCATTATTACAGTTAAAGGCTCACATAATTTTTCTCATGGCCATTCTATATTATCTACATCCGCTGACATGTCCATAGACTCAAATAATTGTGATAATAAATAATTAGGTATTAAAGTTATCATTGCAAATAAAGTGCTCTCAGTAATAGTTTATAAATTATCTATCGAATGCTCGTTCACTTGACGTCAACACAGATCGACCAAAGAAGCCAAGTGCCAAGTCAGCCAAGCAGTATCATCAGTACGCCATCGGATACACGCTACGCAAGATATAAGCCAAGCACGCCAAGTGCAGCTTTTACACTTACTACGTTTTTATAAAATTCTTGCATCTACAAGGTAAGGTGTTTTGTTAAAATTTTGCAAATATTTTAATAATTACCTTCACTACAATATTTTTAATACATCTTATCAATTTCATTTATTATTACTGAATTACCATGTGTTAATACTCATATTTAGTATTAACATCTCATACAGCTATGACTCGCTTGTCATTGTACTGCGGTGCCTTGCTATATTGTGTATCTGTGGAGCACACAGAACGATTACTCTACAATACAATTCTACGTTTTTTTCCCGCGCAAAAACGTAATGCGTGATGGCGCATTTGCGCGGGAAAATAACAGACTAAAAAAGACTTCTTCTGCAGACATACTGATTTGATGTGATCTTAATAATAATAATTTATTATTTATATATCTATTTCTAATTTCTAATACAATATACTATCCATATATACGATAACCAGAGTATAAATACTGCCCCTACTAACACCACGAAGTTATTAATCTAGGTCTAAATACTTGTGAAATGTACATAAATTGAATTAATACCAATATGTATTGACTGTGTATGTGAAATACAATTTTCGTTGTATGACTAAATGTAATATCTGTCCTTCCGAGAATGTTTTGTATTTATGGTTTGTGTCTTTTAATATTTTATTGCCTTTTAATATTTTATTGTCTTTTAATATTTTATTGTCTTTTAATATATTTTGAGGTCGCCGTGGTCTCAAATTGCTTCTTATTGTTCTTTATTTAAATATTTGTATTATTATTCTCATAGTCGATATAAATGCTTTCTCGTATATAAATCAACAATACAATGTGTGTGAAATCATAATAAGTAAATTTAATATTTTTATTATTTGTTAACATGAAATTTATAGATTTATTACTCAATAATTATTGTATTGCAATTAAAAACAGAAAATGTATTATTGATATACTCATAAAATCTTTAAATTAGGTATAATTAATGTCAAATTTTAAACATACGAACAGACATTTTGGTCAGTATAAAAAAAAACGTAGAAACTAGGAAATTATTTTATCAGCGCCACCTATTGTGGAATATGTTACAAATTCTATGAATACTATGAAATTTATTTATTTTGAATTTTATATTGTATATAAAATGTTAGATGTTTTAATGTAATTGCCATAAATTATACGCATATATAACATAATGTGTAACCGTTCTCAATATTTTTAAAAAAACTACCTGATATATAATATAATATATAAATTATGATAAAAAACTATAAATCGTATAAAAACTTCCATATTGACATCGATGTCCTCAATTATTGAGATTTTGATTACACCGTAAATATAACTTATATATTAGTATAATTAATACAAAATAAACATATTACATACGTATTTATTTAATTTTATGCTCAATGTTTATGCTTAGTATACTGTAAATAATGCTAAAATGCCAAGTATTGTGTAAGCCAAGTGTCGTGATTCGCCAAGTGTTGTGACTTGCCAAGCTGCTGCCGCCGCCACGCGTCGTCGTACAAAAGAAGCTAATGAAACTGTGGCACATACGGGATTTAGTAATTTAAGGTACTAAATTTTTACATTTGTGTACTTTTAATTACTGAGCCCTGTGTGTGCCGTGTCATCGCATGTGCTGTCTGCATCATCAGTCTTCGCTCCGAGTCTTCCTGTTTTGGTCGGTTTGGTAATGATGATATTGTTACATGATTTGACATCCGATCGGTTGGCCGATCAGTTGATATACGCTGGAAAGTAATTGTTGTCCAATGATGTCAAAGGTGACTAAAGACTGCAAAAGGTCGTCTGTGTAGATCCTTCTCTTCTCGTCTCATAAACTGCTTGCTTTGCAATAGTGTTTTATTGGTAGAGTGCTATTTGGTAGTAAAATTACAGGATAAGAAGTATGGCAAAAAAAATTAAAATAATAATAAGTTGTGCACAATTTTATTCCCTGAAATTATACATTAGCAACATATAACTTCCATTTTTCGTATTAAATTAAAGAAGTATCGATTTATTTGGGTTAGAGTTGATTATATTTCAAAATAACATTACAATAATGAATTCTATTGAAATCGATTTAGATGTTAGATTCCAGTGTAGATCAGTAGGCTGAGGGCAAGATCTTGGTGTTAAATTGAACATACACATAGCAAATTGATGTGTCAAGAACACGATTCAATGCTACTATTTATCAACAGTTACCACAATCTGAACAGCAGTCAAGCGGACGGGGTGAAGTATTATTTGTAGAGACACATGAACTAAACTCGACGGGCTTTACTCATCAGGTGTCAAATCGTGTTATCCATAAATGCCTTTTATATTAATGTATAAATGTATAAATATAAGTATTGTTTTATTTGTAATTGAACATTAATCTGTATTAGTATAGTATATTGTAGCAAACATCAAAGGGAAGATAAAGATATTTCGTTTGGGTTGTTCGTCTGCATATATATATACTACGAATACCTATATTGAATATGAAAAATAATATATATATATATATATTCGTAGTATATGTTTTAGATATAGAATATTGTTTTCAAAATGCTTATTGTCAAGTATGAAAACATATTCTTTCATCTTTATAGCAGTTAAAATAGGATCAAACGCTACTCTCTCTTAAGAGTCAGTCTCTTCTATCTCTCCTAAGAGAGAAAAAAAATGCCGGCGTCGTTGTAATTAAATAAATTTCGCACAATAGGCTGATGTAATTGAGCGGGGCACGTTACATAATCTTCCATCATAATTAAGCTAATTTATACGCAAAAATTTAGGGCAGCATAAGGATGGCCGACGTTTTTAGTGAATTTTTATTATCACACCCGACCATGATGAATTTTTCATATCTACCACTTTGTATATTTTTTGGCGGCCAACTAGATGAAACAGATGGCTATTTCTGTAGCTATATAGATATTGATGGCCCCGGTAGTCACGGGTTTGATTCCTAGCATCAAATATAAGATATACAGATACAACAATACCCAAAACGGTACAAACAATCACTTATGGATACAAATATTTATACCGTGCAAGTAATCGAACCCGAAACCATCGGAAGTAAGGCGAAACACTGTTAACAAACTGTTTGGCGAGACAAATAAGATACAAGTACATTAAAGTAACGCTAAAGACTTCATATAAAGTGTACCTTTTTTTATCGTCCTGTCCCACCGTCAGAGTGAAGACGAGGGGGTGTGTGAGATTCTTACCCACTAAAAAACCATAAGGTTTATTACCAATCGACCCCCCGTTCTATTATAACGGGGATCGAAATTACAACGGCCTGAGCCGAGGTTCAGACCCCTAGCGGTACCCTCAGACTAAAGTCGTATCCGTCAGGCGTGTGTTGGCCTTCAGCAGCTCCATAAGTCTTTCCGCGGGTTTGGAGTACCATCTGCACTCGCCTCCTATCGTCCGGTAAAGAAGTAAAGGCTTGCTGCGACCAACATTACATTAGTAGTCCAAAAAAAAGACCATAGCCGAAGTCGCGAGGTCGCTTTACCATTCGATATTGTACGTAGGTAAAACAGTTCCACTTAAAACTGAAAGTACAATACAACTTTTCTAAATGGATGCGGTATAAAAACAAAATTAACCTAGTTTACAAATTGCGGACCACGCGTAAGGGCCCGCGGAACCAAATTAGCTAGGTCCGACTGAGAATTGTGACCTCCTTTTGACCTCGCACTACTTCTACGTATCGATTTCTGTTAGCTGTCATAAACATGAGATTGTTAGAAGTGGACTGTTCTCGAGTCCAACTTAGCTTATTCTTTGGCACATTAGTATTTTTATGTAACTGGAATGCTAACAAAATGGCCGACTTTGAACTGGCGGCAATTCGGTTTGATAGAAACTGTCAACTGTTGTCTATGTATGGTCAGGACCAAGTATATTATGACTATGGTACGGCAATATTTTTTTTTGTAAATGGCAACAAATGTAATGAATGGTCACTTGATACACACACAT